CACACTGACAGGAGAGAAAAGACCGTGAATCTGTATTATTTTCAGGTCACTGAGTGACTAGGAGAGAATGGGTTGTGACTGGGAAGTGCCAGCTTTCATTATTCTGCATTGGTCTGCATGACCTTTCATTTCCACTGTCCTTTCCCACCTCTGCTGTAACAGCCTCCTCTATTTTCAGCTTTTCTCTGTAGTATCCCTTTTGGGCTGTAAACTCCTCATTCCAATGCAGAGCACTGTTGGGAGTCGGAAGCAGTTTGTTCAGGGCTGGTTGTGTGTCAGGCCTCTCCCAGTTCTGTTCCCAAGCCCATCTCTGCAGTTGTCATGTATAATTTATCCAGCAGGGCTGTGACACACTGCAGCTCCAGCCATAGGGCTCAGGCTAACCCTGGGTGAACAAAAACGGCTCACACAGTTGCCTCCAAGTGCTGTATTCACTAACCCATATAAGTAAAACCTATTTTTCAAATAATATTTCGCTCAGCTATTGTGAAGTTTGTTTTTTAATGTAGTGACTGTGCCCATAAGTGCTCTGCCTAAAATAGAGAATGATCTAGCAGCAACAACACAAAACACAGTGGTCTGGCATTAGGAGACAGTGATGTGCAAGAGATGATGTCCTGCCTCTGGGCTTACAGAAAATGCCCTACTCCTCCAACCTTTTATCCATCACTACAGTTCTGCTGAGCAGCAGCTTTTTCTGCAGTACTGCCAGTCTCCAGTCTGCACAGGGCAGGTGTTGCAAAGCACGCAAACTCCAATATCACTTGATAAATAACAGAGAAAACTAGGAAAATTTAGACACGAAAGAATAGAATAAATGAAAAAAGGATGGCATTTAAAGCAGGATGAGGATCATAGAAAAAGAAATTGAGGAACTGAATAGGAGGAAAGAAGAATGAATATTGCTTAAAAATATTCTTGCAAAAATATTTAACTCTTTACACTTTATTTATTTGAAATAGTCTTCCTTCATCTCCAGTACCCATGATTCTTCCTTCCCTAACCAGAGTTACATCAGAAGACAATGCAATAATATTCCTATTTACTAATTCATAAAATTCTGAAACATTATAAAGGCAGAAGATATTCTGAACCACAGACATAGCTGGCATTTGGGGTAGGGAGAAGGGTGTGAAAGAAAATATAAGCAATATCAATCAATAATTAAACACATACCTTTTGCCTCCTTCTTTGGAAACAGTGGCATGTGTCAGAGAAAAAATAATGGATAAGGCGCATCACGTGTCCAAGTCTCTAGTGTTTTTTTTGTTTAAAAAACTCCCAAAAATATATATTAAAAAAAAAAAAACACTCCAAAGACACAGATTGAGAACTATTACCTGGAAAAATCAACCTCAAGGCTTACAAACTGCTCTCAAGCAAGAGCCAGTTCTCAGACGTCAGCACTACTAGCAGTTTACTGTCCACCTTATCATCAGTCCATTCAATGATAAAAGAGGCATTGCTCTGGGCACCATTTAGCAAGCTCCTAAAAAATCTGAAAACCTGTTCTTACCCTGAACCACAGTAACTGTCCCTACTAACTTGTATCTTTAGAGAGTGAGAGGGTCATTTAGTCTGTAAAGGCGAGACACAGCACACTGGAAAATTTGGCTTTTTCTAACCATGAGATGACAAGGTAATTATGAGGACAGCTGAGTGCCAAGTATAAATAGTCTGGCCTGGCATGCATGGGGCTTACAGCAGCAGAAGAAAGATCAACAGGCCCCAGGCTTTTGGGCCATAGGCAAGACAAGGTAATTATCCAGGGGCTGAGTCAATATAAGGGCTCACATCACAAAATTTTATTGTTGCAAATCATTGATTGCTTACACACAACTCTATTTGCTTTCATTCCACACGTTCATCACCACATCTGTCATTGGTGAATTGGTTCATGTTTTTAAGGCCCTCACATATTACATTACAGCCACTCCATTTCCCACTAACAGCAATTCTACATAATTCATCACTGTCATTTCAGGCAGTGTTCTGTAGCTGACTTGACCTGCAAAAAGAAAGGCAATAAAGATGTATAGCACTGTGGCTCTTTGAAATCTAGTGTGTCAAGCCCTGTGGCAACATGCTTTTAGTTCTGAATTTCTTCAGTGAACTCCAGCTCAAGACGATTCTTCAGTGAAAGGCGGAGGAGAAGGAGAGGCTTCTGTCCCAGTTGCCAGTGATTAAAGTCACCAGTCTGCTAGTGACTGTCACACAGATGGAGAGCTAATTCCTATATGGTGGGCTCCATGGTTTTGAAGCATTTTAGAAATTCTGTGCAGCTCAGACACATGACCTTCAGGATCCACCAGGCAGACTCTATATTTGCCTGTGCAAACTGAAATTGGACCAGCCCGAACATCAGGCACCCATCTGTACACTTGGGGTTTGACAGCCTGAAACACAATCACATTTTCAAGTGCAACTACTGGGTACTAAAACATCATCATTTCAACCCACTCACTGCAACAGATCAGAGTGTTATACAGCAGCTCTTCATTTCTATGATTCTGTACAAAGTCAGTCAGACTTTGCAGGGATCAGTGTAAACCCATGAAAAGAAAACAACAAAAGCAAACTGTAGGCAAGAAAATACTATTGTGTTTCAAACAGCAATACCCAGAATAAAGTAAATTCTCAAGTACGTGGAAGAGATGGCTGGAGTACCTGTGCCTATTTCCTTCTTTGCTGTTTTATTAGACTGCTCATTTCTTCCAGGAGTAAGAGTGCACCTATTTCAAAGCTCAATGCAGCCACAAAAAGACCTCACCAGAATACATTAAAGATGTTTTTTGGTCTCTTGCATGACAGTTGATATTATTATTGAAGCAACGAGGAACCAGTGATGTGGAAAAAGTGCATACAGAGTTTAAATTCACCCATATTTTAGGCAAACCACATTAACCAAAACAATGCCATTGAGGCTTTTAGGTTTAAATTCATGACAGGAGGCAATCCTTCTTGTCTTTCACTTTAACTAGCAAGGAAAAAAAAACCCAAAAACACCGAAGCTTTTGATGAATCTAGCTAAAACTATCCCAGCAAGCAAAGAGAATGACTCACAGAGAAAATGCAAATAATTCACCACTGGAAGATGCAAAGCAAAGGAGCAGCTGAAGTCATGTCCTGCTAAGGATATAAACCCTCTACCCTGTATGCTAGAATTAAAAACTTACACGTTCAGCCCAGGAAATGAAAAATTGTTCAGGTAAGGCTCAGATTAGAGTACACACCCAGACAGGATTTGCTTTTGCAGCCTGGCATGCACAAAGGGGAAGCAGTGCCTCTTAAAATGAGAGATCTGCCCAGGAACAGCAGTTGGAGAATATTTCCCTGATACAGGTAAATAATTCCTATTGCCTGGAGTTCAATAGTGCAGTGGGGCAGAGTTTGGTAATGTTCAAACAAGTTTGGATGACTTAATGACATGTAACAATAACAAAATGTTTGATTACTCTTGCCTTAACTTCAAAAATTTTCAGTATTTGGTCAGTTAGAGAATTAGGAGTGCAGAAAGAAAAATAAGGTTTCCATGGGAAGAGAAATATTATCATCCCTCACTCCTGTCAGTTAGATAATCCAAAAATCACTTTAACTGCCTGGCTCTAACCTTAAAAAGCGTCAGATTCCCTTGGGTGTTATTCAACACATCAATTCCTCTTGCTGGAAAGACTGAGCAGTAATTTAGTTCCCATCACAACTATTCCAACACTGCATGCCTGATGAAGACATCACCCAGAATAAGTGAATGGGTAAATAATTGTCCAGTCCTGAACTTCCATCGGTATTAAAAAGGAGGATTACTTGGAAGAATGAGCAAGTTTCTCTGCTCTGTGTTGTTATCTCCCTCCTAGACACCTGGCAGGGAGTTTTGTGCCGACCAAAGATAGTGAACCTTCAAGCTGGGATTTATATACCTTCGACAGCCTTGCAAACCTACCTGTGCTGAAGCCTTGACTCTTTCCTAGGTATAGAAATCTGACCTGGGAAAAGAGTGTGGAGGTGGTTGGGCATGAGATTTTATTCTGAACAGACTGTGAGGACAGTAACATTAAGTACAACTCTAAAATGGAATAAAGGTCTTTCAGGGCTGAGGAGTTCAAGAGCTGAGTGGTTCAAAGACTTTTGTGGTTCAAAGACTTTTGTGGCCTGAATCAAAACCTTACTGAGGTAGAGCAATATCTCATTGAAGGTATTTTCCTCATAATTTCTGATAGAAGATAAAGAAAAAAATCAAATCCCCACCCCATGGCTGCTTTCCCCATCTCCAAAGTGCACATAATTGGAGACAAGAAGAGGGGGGAAAGCACTACGGAGAAGCAGTGAAGCACCTTTTGCAGTGCCTCTCTTCTGACTTCTTCTCCAGACCCCCTCTTCTATGGCACTGCTGGTTAGCTCTTTTTGCAGAAAATTCACAGGCCAGGACACTAATATTGAATTTCCCAGTACAAGTCTGTAAGTGTTGGAGGAAATCCCCTTCTAAACACAAAATGAAAAGGGACACAGGAATCTGATTAAATAAAAACTGAGTATCAACATAGTCCCAATGTGGTGTCTGAAAAAAAAATTAAAATTTTCAATAAAAAGATGGAGTCAGGAAGATAAAAGTTTCCTTTTCCTCCCCTTTTGCACCGAAAGAGTTTGTTTTCCTTTGCATAAAAATAACTTCATTGGAAAAAAGTGAATTGTGGCCAAAGTTCTCTAATAGCAAAAGTAGTTTGATTCAGTTTTATTTCTGATGTTCAACTTCCATTCCTTCTCTGGCCCTCATATCCAGTCACCATGGCAACAAAAGTGCAGAAAAATCCTTTGCCCATTTGATAATCATTTAATCATTTAACAACAAAACAGATTGGAAATGTGAAAGTGAAGTAATGGGAAACACCAACAGGAAAATAAGCCCCGCTATCAAAAAAAGTCATATTCCCCAACCAAAAAAAAAACCCCTTAAAAATTAAAAGAGAAGGAGCAGAAGTAAAGAGAAATATGTGTACCTCACTGAGAGTAGATTTAAGCTTCTCAGTGGTCTCCTTCACACACCATAGTGTCTTTTATTTTCTCCCCATGGGAGTCTTCATGCTGTCTGAAATGTCCTTCCAGGAGCTGAAAAAAAACCCAGAGAAAAATTCAGATCTGTGTTGTGAGTTCAAAAGATGAGCAAAAATGTTCCTAACCAGTAGAAACCACACTCTGGAGTTTGTCTTATTTCTTCCTTTATATCTAAAAAGGAGTTGTGTTGACTCACAAGTGTATTTTTTTGTATGAAATCTCTGAAGTGCCAGTGCAATCCATTGGGAGGTTGCCCCAGCAAAGGTCTCTGTCACCTTTAAGTGACAGGGCTTATGTTCCCCTGATGGTGACAGCAGAGGGGTTGAGCAGCTGCTAGCCTCAATCAGAAGCCCCCAGAAAGAAAACACCACTACAGGCAATTTCCCATCAGGGTGGAAATTCTCTTTTCCAGCCGACAGAAATTTCCTGCAATGTGTCCTTGCCCCTAACACGTGCCCAAGACAAAGCCCAGTTCAGCTCAGAGCACAGGGGCAGTCCCCTCTTTGTCCCTGCTGAAGCTGTCTGTGGGGAAGAGCTGCAGGATAGGTGACACATGGAAGTGTGGTCATCACATGAGCTTGTAGGCAACTAGACAGATGCATTGCAGCTGCAAAACTCCAGTGGCCAAACAACTACAGAAGAAAGACACAATGCTGGATCTCATTCCCAGCACAAGCCCTTAAAATCCACACACAGGACATACTGCTCTTATCAGTACCCCACATGTAGATTCAATTTTTTTTTTTTTTTTTTAATATAGTAACCCTTTCCCCCCACAAAATACCCCCCAGTAAACTCACTCGGCAAATATGCTATTTATCAGAAAATCCAGGTCAGCTTTCTGCCCATCAGCCTAGATATGGACACGGAAGCTAGCAAGGTAAGTGATTTACTTTATTCTTTTCCCTCACACTGAGATGCAAAACTGCATATATCCTGACAACATTTCATTAAGCAATTTGTTAGCTGCTCGAGTTAACTCCAGGAGAAGGGAAATTATTGTTAAATCTTTGCACTAAAAGTCAACAGCTCCTGTGTCAGTGGTAGCACATTTGATATGGGAAACTGCAAATGATCAAATGTTCTTGATTTACCCTTGGCAAAATGTTGCATCCCAAAGAAGGTGGTGAGAAGAGGGAAGAAATTTGTGTGACAATCTTGGCTATTCATGCCTGCCCTAGAAGAGCAGCTCTGCTCTTCAGTGGATGTTATTGCAAATACCTCATGAAAAATATCTCTGAGTATGCCTGTAACAGACAAATTTTTACAAGGCATTGAGCTGATAAGCCCTAATATTTTAAAAATAATTGCTATTTCTCAGATAGGAATAATGTATCTTCAGGCTTTTTAAAATATTTGTAATGATTTCTCTGAGGTGACGCATCAGTGTGGCATCTCAGCAATTATCCAAACAAGTCTGTTAGGTAGAAAAAGATACATTATTCCCACTGCAAAGGAAGGGAACAGCACATTACAAATCTGTCCTTCAAAACTAACATATATGAAGGTCACTAGTACTAGGAAAGGAGGCTTGAGTCTTGCTTACATTTTGCAGTCCTTACACCAAAATTGTACCCACCTCCCTTTTTTGTTTAATGGAGGAAAGGTGAGCATTCATCCTCCTTAGATCTTGTTCCAAAAGAGGTGTCTCTTTCTCTTTCAAACAGGGAACTTTGAATTCAGGTCAATGAATATAGATAGCTTTGACAACCCATTGCACAATAAATGGCAACATCAAGCAGAAAACTCCAGAATTAAGAATCTTTGGATTTATCTCCCAGCCTCAAGTAAACAAGCCAAGAAGACTTTTGTTTTTGTAGTGTCTCTAGATTTGCCTTGCTTTACACTCACTCTTCTTTTTCTCTGCAACCCAAGGATGTGGCACATCTAAATTCTTGTCACACATATGGAGGTGAGAGCAATGGCAGATACAGATCCATGGGAATTTCCAACATGACCTGCAGTTCTTACTCATATTTATGTAATATTGCTGTGCATAAGGACTTCTAACACTGCTTACTTCAGTACCTATTCCTGACCTAAGGCAGAGCTACAGCACAAGCTTAGATAGAGGAGCTGTGTTACATCTAAAATAAAAATAACCCTTCAAGTATCTTTCTCTGACAATCCCCCACGTTTCACACTTCCACAATTCATCCGAGAATTTAAACTAAAAATTGTCTCAATTGTTCCAAAACACCAGGACACTGCCACCAGCACATTAATAATCAGTTTTATGCCAGTCTGGACCAAAACCTAATTGATAACTTCCCAAGGTAGGCAAGCTGCAGTGCAATTTGAGGTTTGATATTTCCTGTTGCAGCCTGATGTGCACTTCCCATAGTGACAGCCAGCCAAGCAATACTCCAAATAAAAAACAAGGTGGGAGGCTCTGGGCTGGGCACTGACATTTTCATACACCATGGCAGTGTGGCAATTCAGGCTGGGGTCACCAGAGTTAGCAAGAGAACACAATGGATTTCATTGTGATACAAAGACATTCCCTGCCTTTCCTTGCACACACACAGGTATCTGTTTAATCATTAAAATCTCTCCTCTATTTTTTTTTTTCCTTCAATGATTGTCTCTGTGCTCTCAGATATTTTAATTTAAGTTCTCACAAATGTAGGAATTTAACAGTTAGCACATTGAAACATCCTTATTACTGAAAAGGAGCTGGCTGTATTGTAACACAGCTGTTTACCATTTCAGTGGGATAAAACAAAATAATTAAGAGCAAAAGATTCCTGATATTTAACTAGCTATGTACTTAAATAGCTCACTACTGGTATTTTATAGTAAGACAATTGCCTACTAAAATATAATCAGTCATTTCAGGTATATAGTATTGAAAATACTACCTATAATTGAAAATGACTCTTCAGCATTTAAACCTCAACTTAATTTGAGATCCCATGGCATGAAAATAATTTTGATACAGAGCACTACCCATTCAGAAATGCAGCCACTTTAGGAGTGATCCACTCCACAATGGGTTAGATTATGGGACAGGCAGCCAGAGAGAAAATATGGAGCAAATGAAAACCTTAATAATAATTTAGTGAATAATTTGCCTTTTATATAACATCACACTAATTACACATCAAGTTGCTTCTCATAGGTGAGGAACAAAGCTCCAGTATTTATAATCACATAATCACATAATTTTTCAGAGGAAGCTTTATTTAAAAAGAGTTGCAACAAAATTGGCAGTATTTGATCTCTTACTATATAAAGAAATCCTACACCTGTGTATGTTGATATGTCAGAGACATTTAGAAATAAAAGATAAAGGTAAAAAATGCACTTTGTTCTCATTCCTTTTCAGTTAGGCGGGTTTTCAGAGAAAACTTTTCCAGTTTATGGATCATGGCTGTGGCAGATGAAACGTCTGTGCAGAATTTATTTTTCTTGCAGAAATAACATTCTACCAGTTTTGCCAGGAGATGGCAAGTTTTATGGGCTTATTTCAATTGAAAACATCTGCACTAGAAAATATATGCTGCTGGGTCACATGTTAAATAACACTACTATATGTGACTGCAGAGAACGGCTGTTTTGCATCTTCTTTATAATGGTTTGTAACTAAGCATAATTGTCTTGGATCATTAATTGAAGTTGCTGTAACATTAACCCTTAATGCTTTTAAACTTAGTTTTTCAGTTACATAGGGCTGGATTCAGTTACATTCTTGAAACGAGCCATTTCCAGGAATAGAACTTGGGAGGTACTTCTATTATAACTCAAGTTCAAAAGGCACTCTCAAGGCACCTGCTTGCCTCCTAAAATCTCAGATGGCCACAGATTTTTAATTTTTTTTATATGAGAATTTCAAAATGATCCAGCTTTCTGTTTCTAAACACATCAGCCTAAAGGGCTCCTTGCCAAAACTGTGTGCACCTTCTTTGAACTGATAGTGTCTGGAGAGTTGTCTAACCCAGTTTTGAAAACCTGAGTTGCCAGAGCAGCCTGGATGGTGGATGAAATCTGCAAAAATTGGTGGAAGACTGATAGAAGACAAGCCCGCTTCCACAACCATCAGCATCACAACTTGCATCTTTCCAGTTAGGCAACTGAACCTTATCGGAGCCTGGGTAATTGCAGCTTTCCAGGCAGTTTTTTAACAATTGACTTAAATTCTGACATGCCCGAAGATCTCAGTATTTGGGCTTAATTTGAAGCTAGTCCATGGTGGAATTTCAATAAATAGTTAGCATGAGTCTTATCACATTAGGACCACCTAGGTTTGAGTAAATAATAGAGAAGGAAAATATGAAATAGAAGAGGATGTTTCATATTTCACTTGTCCTCAGACATTTAAAATTTCACAATTCTAGTTATACCAATTAAGGGGTTGTTAAAAACCAAATCTTTCTGCCTCCCCAATCCTCTCTCACTTATGAACTAAATCTGGAAGTGCTTTTCTAGATAATAGCTACATCAATATAAGATTGGTGCATTTGGCCCTCTCCCCAAGAATTTATAACATTGGAATCCAACAGATTCCATTGCATGATAACAGATTATTGGGCTAGAAAAAAATGCAAACATCTTAGAAAGCAATGTGCCTCCTCTAAACACTTGGCCACATGTTGTGGGAAGATGTTTAAAAAAGCATGTCTTCTTCAGCACACACTGCTAACCAGAAATCTTCTCATCATGATCTATGCACAGCTGGTTTTCTTCCTTTAAATGAAGGCATCGATGATTCAATCCCAATAATTTGCTTTTTGGGAAATCTCTCCTGGAGCTGATAAAGGCTAATGATTGGGAATTATTACAGATAGGCCTATGCAACATCCCTGCCAGGCTGCAGGGATAGAGAGAATGGATTGTCCTTTGCTTCATCAGTCTAGATCAGTCCTGTTCTAACAATTACAGGAACGAAAGGTGCCGAACAATGAAACGAGGCATATTATTGTACCAGATGGTCCATTTTAGAGCAATTCACATACAGGTCTAGAATAAAAGGCAGCTTCAATATTCACTAAAAGCATTTTCAGAACGTTCCAATAGTTTCAGTCCAGTTTCCATACTTTGATTGGAACTGCAGA